GTCTGTGGTACCAGTGTTTCCTACATGGTGACTTGTCTGTGGTCCTAGTGGTTCCAAAATGGTGACTTGTCTGTGGTATTAGTGTTTCCTACATGGTGACTTGTCTGTGGTACTAGTGTTTCCTACATGGTGACTTGTCTGTGGTATTAGTGTTTCCTACATGGTGACTTGTCTGTGGTACTAGTGTTTCCTAAATGGTGATTTGCCTGTGGTACTAGTGTTTCCTAAATGGTGACTTGTCTGTGGTATTAGTGTTTCCTACATGGTGACTTGTCTGTGGTACTAGTGTTTCCTACATGGTGACTTGTCTGTGGTATTAGTGTTTCCTACATGGTGACTTGTCTGTGGTACTAGTGTTTCCTACATGGTGACTTGTCTGTGGTATTAGTGTTTCCTACATGGTGACTTGTCTGTGGTACTAGTGTTTCCTACATGGTGACTTGTCTGTGGTCCTAGTGTTTCCTATATGGTGACCTGTCTGTGGTCCTAGTGTTTCCTACATGGTGACTTGTCTGTGGTATTAGTGGTACTAGTGTTTCCTACATGGTGACTTGTCTGTGGTATTAGTGTTTCCTAAATGGTGACTTGTCTGTGGTACTAGTGTTTCCTACATGGTGACTGACTTGTCTGTGGTACTAGTGTTTCCTAAATGGTGACTTGTCTGTGGTACTAGTGTTTCCTAAATGGTGACTTGTCTGTGGTATTAGTGTTTCCTAAATGGTGATTTGCTTGTCTGTGGTACTAGTGTTTCCTACATGGTGACTTGTCTGTGGTGCATTAGTGTTTCCTACATGGTGACTTGTCTGTGGTACTAGTGTTTCCTACATGGTGACTTGTCTGTGGTACCAGTGTTTCCTACATGGTGACTTGTCTGTGGTCCTAGTGTTTCCAAAATGGTGACTTGTCTGTGGTATTAGTGTTTCCTACATGGTGACTTGTCTGTGGTACTAGTGTTTCCTACATGGTGACTTGTCTGTGGTATTAGTGTTTCCTACATGGTGACTTGTCTGTGGTACTAGTGTTTCCTACATGGTGACTTGTCTGTGGTATTAGTGTTTCCTACATGGTGACTTGTCTGTGGTACTAGTGTTTCCTACATGGTGACTTGTCTGTGGTCCTAGTGTTTCCTACATGGTGACTTGTCTGTGGTCCTAGTGTTTCCTACATGGTGACTTGTCTGTGGTACTAGTGTTTCCTACATGGTGACTTGTCTGTGGTACTAGTGTTTCCTAAATGGTGACTTGTCTGTGGTACTAGTGTTTCCTACATGGTGACTTGTCTTTGGTCCTAGTGTTTCCTACATGGTGACTTGTCTGTGGTACTAGTGTTTCCTAAATGGTGACTTGTCTGTGGTACTAGTGTTTCTTACATGGTGACTTGTCTGTGGTACTAGTGTTTCCTAAATGGTGACTTGTCTGTGGTATTAGTGTTTCCTAAATGGTGACTTGTCTGTGGTACTAGTGTTTCCTAAATGGTGACTTGTCTGTGGTACTAGTGTTTCCTACATGGTGACTTGTCTGTGGTACTAGTGTTTCCTAAATGGTGATTTGCCTGTGGTACCAGTGTTTCCTAAATGATGACTTGTCTGTGGTACCAGTGTTTCCTAAATGGCGACTTGTCTGTGGTACTAGTGTTTCCTACATGGTGACTTGTCTGTGGTACTAGTGTTTCCTACATGGTGACTTGTCTGTGGTACTAGTGTTTCCTACATGGTGACTTGTCTTTGGTACTAGTGTTTCCTGCATGGCGACTTGTCTGTGGTCCTAGTGTTTCCTAAATGGTTAGTAAAATATGACTAAAATGTAACTTCCCTGAAGAACCTGTGGGACATGTTTCCTAAATGGTGAACAGCCAGTTGAACTACCATTTCAGGTGTCTAAACACTGTCCAGTAACTGGAATGACAGGTACAAGAAAGAACACTTGCCATTGTACCAGATTGCATCCTCGAGTTGATAGAAAATGTAATTTCGAAACTTTGAGCACATCACTGTCTTCAAGGAAATATTTCCTCACTTTACAAGCAAAAGCACGGAAATGTTTTGCATGAGGTCAGTTGTATAACGAGTTGACTTTCAAATCTCCTAATTAGGTTAATATCTTCCCCATATGAGCTAAGGACTTACATGTTCACATTTTATACTGATAGAAAAATTGAGTCTGAACCTAATATTTGTAATTTAATACATAGGTAATTCTGAATGCAGATTACTGAAGATGTGTACAGTGAGAGTGAGCTTCAGTACCAGGAGCCTAACCCACTCTGCGTGAGGTTGGTAGTAGTAAAGATAGACACCAGTACCAGGAGCCTAACCCACTCTGCGTGAGGTTGGTAGTAGTAAAGATAGACACCAGTACCAGGTGCCTAAACCACTCTGAGTGAGGTTGGTAATAGTAAAGATAGACACCAGTACCAGGAGCCTAAACCACTCTGAGTGAGGTTGGTAGTAGTAAAGATGGACACCAGTACCAGGTGCCTAAACCACTCTGAGTGAGGTTGGTAATAGTAAAGATGGACGCCAGTACCAGGAGCCTAAACCACTCTGAGTGAGGTTGGTAATAGTAAAGATGGACACCAGTACCAGGAGCCTAAACCACTCTGAGTGAGGTTGGTAATAGTAAAGATGGACGCCAGTACCAGGAGCCTAAACCATTCTGAGTGAGGTTGGTAATAGTAAAGATGGACACCAGTACCAGGGAAGCCTAAACCACTCTGAGTGAGGTTGGTAATAGTAAAGATGGACACCAGTACCAGGAGCCTAAACCATTCTGAGTGAGGTTGGTAGTAGTAAAGATAGACACCAGTACCAGGAGCCTAAACCATTCTGAGTGAGGTTGGTAATAGTAAAGATGGACGCCAGTACCAGGAGCCTAAACCACTCTGTGTGAGGTTGGTAGTAGTAAAGATGGACGCCAGTACCAGGAGCCTAAACCACTCCGAGTGAGGTTGGTAGTAGTAAAGATGGACACCAGTACCAGGAGCCTAAACCATTCTGAGTGAGGTTGGTAGTAGTAAAGATAGACACCAGTACCAGGAGCCTAAACACTCTGAAGTAGTAAAGATAGGCCAGTACCAGGAGCCTAAACCATTCTGAATGAGGTTGGTAATAGTAAAGATAGACGCCAGTACCAGGAGCCTAAACCATTCTGAGTGAGGTTGGTAATAGTAAAGATGGACACCAGTACCAGCTAGAAGCCTAAACCACTCTGAGTGAGGTTGGTAATAGTAAAGATAGACAGAGTACCTAGGGCCTAAACCATTCTGAGTGAGGTTGGTAATAGTAAAGATGGACGCCAGTACCAGCTAGAAGCCTAAACCACTCTGAGTGAGGTTGGTAATAGTAAAGATGGACACCAGTACCAGCTAGAAGCCTAAACCACTCTGAGTGAGGTTGGTAATAGTAAAGATGGACACCAGTACCAGCTAGAAGCCTTAACCATTCTGAGTGAGGTTGGTAATAGTAAAGATAGACACCAGTACCAGCTAGAAGCCTAAACCACTCTGAGTGAGGTTGGTAATAGTAAAGATAGACGCCAGTACCAGGAGCCTAAACCATTCTGAGTGAGGTTGGTAATAGTAAAGATGGACACCAGTACCAGCTAGAAGCCTAAACCATTCTGAGTGAGGTTGGTAATAGTAAAGATAGACGCCAGTACCAGGAGCCTAAACCATTCTGAGTGAGGTTGGTAATAGTAAAGATGGACGCCAGTACCAGCTAGAAGCCTAAACCACTCTGAGTGAGGTTGGTAATAGTAAAGATGGACACCAGTACCAGCTAGAAGCCTAAACCACTCTGAGTGAGGTTGGTAGTAGTAAAGATAGACACCAGTACCAGATAGAAGCCTTAACCATTCTGAGTGAGGTTGGTAATAGTAAAGATAGACGCCAGTACCAGGAGCCTAAACCATTCTGAGTGAGGTTGGTAATAGTAAAGATGGACACCAGTACCAGGAGACTAAACCATTCTGAGTGAGGTTGGTAATAGTAAAGATAGACACCAGTACCAGCTACAAGCCTAAACCATTTTGAGTGAGGTTGGTAATAGTAAAGATGGACGCCAGTACCAGGAGCCTAAACCAGTCTGAGTGAGGTTGGTAATAGTAAAGATAGACGCCAGTACCAGCTAGAAGCCTAAACCACTCTGAGTGAGATTGGTAGTAATAAAGATGGACACCAGTACCAGCTAGAAGCCTGAACCACTCTGAGTGAGGTTGGTATTAGTAAAGATGGACACCAGTACCAGGAGACTAAACCATTCTGAGTGAGGTTGGTAATAGTAAAGGTAGACGCCAGTACCAGCTAGAAGCCTAAACCATTCTGAGTGAGGTTGGTAGTAGTAAAGATAGACGCCAGTGCCAGGAGCCTAAACCACTCTGAGTGAGGTTGGTAATAGTAAAGATGGACGCCAGTACCAGCTAGAAGCCTAAACCATTCTGAGTGAGGTTGGTAGTAGTAAAGATAGACATCAGTACCAGCTAGAAACCTAAACCATTCTGAGTGAGGTTGGTAGTAGTAAAGATAGACACCAGTACCAGCTAGAAGCCTAAACCACTCTGAGTGAGGTTGGTAATAGGGCAGATGGGTATCAATTGTACCTGGGGTTTGAAACCACACAAGTATACACATTTTCATAAAATAGATATTATGAATCAATGTCTCATTAACACATCAGCAAGGTATTATTGTATGCTTAAAAATTATCATCATCAAAATGGTTATCATCTTCATCATCAACGGGGTTATCATCATCAACATGGTTATCAGCAGCAGCAGCCACATGGTTATCACCACCATCATGGCTGTCATCGTCATGGTTATCATAAGCTGGTGAAGTGCGTATTTTGATCGAGCGAACCAAGACAAGAACAATGAAGGTAAGATACTTTACACCAACACTAAACTTTACACTAAAATGCCAGTCAAACAGATCATAGATGAGAGTGGTAGAGCTGACTACTAAATACTCATTGAAATATATGGTAATTTTTATATGTACTTACCTCCCTTGAGTCTTTTTCCCAGAAAGCCTTTCGTGTGTTCCAGTATCCACTTTCAGAGACATCTGGCAGACTTGACCCTGACACAGCACTGTGGTTGACTGTGGACCCAGCATAGGAATATCTACGTCCAGCCCCTCTACGTGGAGAGTACGCCATGTCAACGTGACCTGGGGGTGCCAACACAGGCGTAGCAACGCTGTCCTCCTCTATGTGTAAATCCACTGTCTCCTCTCCTTGGACGCCAACCACTGTTGTGTCCAAGTCTTCAGTAATAACAAGCTCACATAAGTCTTCTGTTTCATCATCTGTCACTGTGGTATCCAAGTCTTCATCCCCACATGTATTATCCGTATTCTCATATCCATAGTAATAAGAGTGTTCTGATTCTGTGTCCCATGTTTCAGAGAGCTGCTGCTCTGCCGCCTCTCCCCCAATGACACTGTCTTGCTTGGGGACACAAGCTGGGGAAATGCTGATGTTTTCTGAACTTGGTGCAGCTGAGAGTGAAACCTGATCCTCAGACTCTTCACCAGAATTTGACTCCACACACATTTTTTGCAAAATGGGGGACGCCTCTATGGGAATAAACTTTCCCTCAATCTCAGACAGGACGACAGTTTTGTTAGCATCTTGCTGGTCTTCATGGTCAGAAACATTACTTGAAACTTGTTCATCTGACACAATGATTGTTTGCATGTGGGATCTGTCATATTGCTCATCTTGACAATCTATCTGGGAGATATCACCAGCACAAGTATCCTTTAAACTTCCATTTGTAGCATCACTTATTATGTCTGCACTCAACTCAGACACCCTCACTTCACTTACAGCGATCATACATTTGTCACTCTCAGTACTGGCAGTGTCTCTGTGACTGTGAAAGTCTAAGCTGGTAGAGTCTTCATTAAATCCAGAGTCAGTTATACTGAATTTATCATACACACAAGTATGCATTTGCATTTCTTCTTGATCTGTGAAAGTCCCATCAAGTAAAGTTCTGTTGTCAAGGTTGCTCATAGGTTCCTCGTCGCCTATGGTAACATACACAGCAGAATCAGTAATACTAATGTCCGTGTTTACATCCATGCTCGCTTGCTCCAGTGTTGAGTCCTGTGGCACCATGATAACCACACAAGGTTTCTCCTTGTCCTCACTAGTAGCTGAAAGGAACACTTCCGAGGTGGACTCACACAGTTTGTCCATGCTGTCAGCACCAGCTTTCATTATAACATCTGCAGTAGTGACTGAGGAAACACTTTCACTACTGTCAGCAGACAATTTCATGCATTTGTCTACTTCTGGGTCTATTTTCTCACACTTCAGATCCATATTTGATGCCTGTCCATGTGTGGTATCCATATTAATAACAGTATGCATATTAACATTCCCACAGTCTGCATCTAAGGTGTTGACTTTGTCAAATATAGACTCAGATAATTTATTTTCATTCATTTGGCAAGTAGAATCTTTATCTGTCTCAGGAACAGCTAGAGATTTGTTCTGAAGTCTATCATACATTTGCCTTTCCACATTTTCAGTGCTGCTTTTTCTTCTACTCAAACAAGGTACTCCCAGTTTTTCATTAAAATGTGACCTTGCAGTCTCAAAATCCACTTTTTCTACACAAACACCATCATTATCATCCACATCTACAGATTTCTCCATCACTACATTGTCTCCACACTTCCCCCATCTGTCCACATTCACAGAATGTTCAATCATATCCAGGTCTTCAACTTCTGATGCCGATGTTTCCATTTCATTGTCAGGTTTATATTCATATTCAGATGAAGATTCTCTGTCAATATTTCTTTCATGTCTATTTCCTTGTGTTAATTTTATAAGGACCTCCTCTTGATCTTCCCTTGCAGAATCCTCAAACTCACTCCCACTCTCCCCTGAGTCGGACAGAAACTTTTTCTTCCAAATCCCCCCTTCCCCTCTTATCCATTTGTATTTCCGGGTTGGGGATGGGGAGGGAGTTGCAGGTGGGGTCTCAGGCAGTGGGGATTTGGTCAGCCTTTCACTGAGTGATCGTCGGATCTCAGAGACACGTGAGCTTTCAACAAACTTTTCGTCAGTTTTGTCTTTACACCAGTCAGTGTTTAACTTCTTGTCTAAACATTCTTCATATTCTTCAATGGTTTTCTCCACGCTCCCATGAGCAGACGGTACAATGTTCACCTTCTCTTTGCTCACTTTCTTTGAGGGTTTACTCAGGAATTTATTTTTGACTGTCTGCCAGTGGTGTAATGATGTTGTTCCAGTGGATCGTTTCAGTGCTTCATGTGACACTGTTTCAGTTGTCGGACACTCAGGTGAAGAAATTTCAGATGACTTGTCAACACTACACAAGTCTATTGATTCTTCCTTGGGTGGGGCTGTAGAGGTCACGTCTGCTTGTGAGGGACTGACTGTCAATTTGTAATCAAATTTGCTCTCAGTACTAGCTGAGTCAGCCCTGCTTGGTACAAAGTGTACCTCATTAATGACATCTTCGGTTACACAGTTCTCTGTGACAGTCACTACAGAGGTTTCTCCATCTAGCAGCTCAGTGCAGCTCTCTGTGGGAGAATTTTGTGCATCACTTGAATGAGGTTCAAATTCAAATTCATTACTTGTGACAGTAGTTAGACACTCAAAAGGTTGAGCATGCTGAATTATAATCACAGACTTGGGATCAATTTGCTCATCAGGTGTAACAAAACATGGAGACACATCAGAATAGCTCAAGTCAATTTTTCCATCAGCTGAGACAGATACTTTTGGTTTTGGTGATACAACTGGTGGTGCAGATTTTGCAGATTTGCTGTTTTCCATCAGAGGGGTACAAACTTCTTCAGTTTGCAAACAGCCATCTGCCATCAATGAGAAAATTGTGTCTGGTCTAAGAGGCACAGCTGCCTTATCCACAATGGCGTCTGCTTGTGATGTGTTGTCGTTAGCTTCCAGGGGTAATGAGTTGTCTGCTACCTGCAAACTGTCGTCTGCTGTTAGTAACCTGGCTGAAACAGTCACAGCACTTTCCTGCTTCCTCTCTACCACTGCTTCAAAGATTCCATCATTGTCTTTACTCTCAATAATAACATCTTCTTCTGCATTTAATCCAATTTCTTTGGCATCATTTATACTGTCACTGTCCTTTGAAGAACACACATCATTTGTGATATTTGTTACTTCACAATCGCTTGCATTAATATCTTCTTCAGATTTGGTACTAAATGTCTCAGACTTGTCATGCTTGACAGGAAGCATTGGCTGAGCTTGGCAATCTTTTTTCACCATGAATTCAATGGAGCTCACATGTGGCACTGTAGAGGTGTGGTCTTCAGGGGCTGTCTTATCACTCACTGATTGCAGAGCCTTTTTCATCAAAACATTACCTGTTTTAACTTTATTCACAGAGTCTTGAGAAAATCTTGAAGTAATGGCTTTCTGCTGAGCTCGAGCTGCTAAACTTTTTCTTACTGAGCTTTGTTTCAAAAGTTCAGATTTGTGGACAGGTTTATAAGTGTGTAGTCTGTTAGTGGGTTTGCTGATACTTTCCCCATCAGCCCTTGACACAGTCAACTGTAGTCCAATATCAGGAGGGTGGTTCTGGGTTACAGGTTCAGGCAATCCAGTTGATTTGGGATCCCTCGTCTCAACTTTGGAGTCTGGGTTTAACACAATTCTTCTCTGTATAGGCATGTTTTCATTATAGCCTTCAGGGTGCAAATTTCTCTTATCTATGACAAGTCTTCTTCCAGGAAGTCTTGCTGAAAGCTTATCACTTCTTGCACTCCACATTCTACCCCAGGTTTGGCTATCACATTTCTTAGTGGAACTCTTATCAGGTTTATTTCCATCCATGCAAAGTGGGTCAGTGCTGACATTATAGTTTACTTCAATCTCAAATCCTGCAGATTTTGTACCCCCTTGGGTAGCTGACATAACCTTGGAGGATTGTGATCCTGTGATGTTGTGTGTTGTGTCAGGTGACATGGGTACAGGATTGGGGGTGTTTTCTTGTACTTGACTATAATGCTTTTCTCCATACAAGAGGACAGTGCCATGAGTTTCATCAGGATATTTGTCAGCCTTGTTAAGAGTGTCTGGGGAAATAGCATCAATATGGCTTGCTAATTCCATGTCATCATGGCGACCGATAACTTGGAATCCTAGGTCAGACATCTCACACGATTCCATATTTTCCACCACATGCCAACTTTGTTTGTCATCAACCAAGTCTAATCTGGGTGGAGATTCATCAATAAATCCAGTCTTACCTTCACTTAATGAATCATAATCAATCCAATCCCGGTTATCACTGTCACACTCCCTCCATCCACCCAGTGCTTCTGCCGCCTCCTCCTTCAGTCTGAGGCTTGTTGAAATGTCTCCTGAATTCTGTCCCTCACGACTCCAGTCTAGATGTTCGGAATTGAAACTTGATCGCACTACATCTCCTGCCGTGCCTTGCACTTTCCCCAATCTGTGTGAACTGGGGGATCCCGTGTCTCTGATCACCCTACCATCCCTTCCTTGTAAAGCACAAGCTAACACAGTTTCAGTTTCTGGTTTGAAAGTATCAAAGTTTTCCTGGGCCCTGGATGAATCATAAGCTATATGCGAGCCTGAAGAGCCAGCTGTCTCTGTGGTACATCCTTGCTCAAGTTTATCAGAGTTTCCCGAAATATGAACCAGTTTATTTATTGAGATTTTATCACTTCTATCAAACTGCCTTTCAGAGTCCTCTCCATTTTTATCATACCCCATGAATTCCTTGGTTAAAGAGAAGCCTGCATCTTCTGTTGCTTGGACTGCCATTGGCACCACAATTTTGATATCTTCCCTCCCTTCAGCCTTAATTTCTTTAACCTGAGATAATTTCAAGAGCTTGCCGTCACACGCCCCAAGGAAGCTACCTGTATCTTCTGAGACTTCAATCACAGCAGCTGTCTCAGTGTCAGGATTTTCAAAAACAGAATCTACAATTTTAGAGGTTGAACTGAATTTTGTTGGGTGGGGAAAGAAGTAGCCAAGCCCTCCCTCTCTCTGATGTAAATGTTTATTATTGGTATTTTCTGAGGTCAGGTTGTGCCTGTTTATGTTATCAGAGAAACTTCCATCCACTGAGGCCCTATCAACATGGGAAGATAGGCTGCAGGGCTTCATGAGCTGACTATGCACAGCCAAGGCCATCTCTCCACTCACTTCAGGTTCCTGTTTCCCTTGACCAGCTGCCTTAGATGATAGATATTCCCCCTCTCCTGTCATCTCAGACAATAAACTATCCGCCTGATAGCAGCTCAGGTTTACCATTTCTGAAGGTGCTTCAATTGACCCATCTGAATCTTTTGACATCTGTCTATCTGACAATGTGGATGCAAGTGAGATGTATTTCAAATTTTCCTCAGTTCTCATATGTGCCACAGGGAACTCTTCTTGCCCCTCATTTACAACGCTTGTTTTCATCTGGTAGGAAGGAGATAGGGCTCCATGTTGACCCTCATTTTCAACTTCTGCATTCCTATTGGTATCAGTTTCTTTCTGTGAATGGAACCTGTGTTTACTAATGTTAGCTGTGTGGTTTACATTAACGTGCTCTGAAAAACGGTCTTGTTTTGAGTCAGCTGGAAAAGTACTGTCACTCATAATTTCCTCTGTATCATTACTAGTTTTTAAAGCACCACTTCCAACATTAGTGTTCTCACCATGAGACTCACAGCTATCTACAATTAAAGGCACACTGGCCTTAACTGAGACCGAACTTTCATCTTCAAGTAAACTGCTGTATCCAAATTCATTTACACTGTCAGGTAAGTTCATTTCAAGCGTACTGCCATTACCTAGATTTTCAGCTGCTGAATGACAGGGGACCAAATCTATGTGCATCCTACTGTTTTCTGTCACTTCAGAATTTAAAGGTGTTCTGTCATATTTGGTATATTTATTTCTCTGTAGGTTTTGCACGGTAGGGCTTTTATGGTTACTTCCAACTTTGTTTTTGACTGTTTCACTTGAACTACAGGTATCTGCTGCACTTTTTCCTTTCAGCCTTTGCTGTTTTGTGAGCTGGGAAGATTTACCTACTGCAGTATGAGCCTTTGAGGGAAGTCGTGCACTAGCAGGTTTGATCCTTGAACTTGGGATAGTAATTCTTGAAACATTGGAACCTGAGGTTTGAGTCTTGTTACTTTTACTAACTGAAGATGCTCTTGACACACTGGATATATCTGAACATATTGACCATCGGTCATCATCAAATCTACTATCCACAGATCCTTCTCGTGTCGAAGGTCGACTCACATCACTCAAGTCCATTTCAGCTGGTATCTTAAGTCTCATCAACTCCAGTCTTTCAGCTGTATATCTCTGTTCTAGGGCTAACAATGACCGAGAATTTGAAACATCGGTATGTGATTTCTTCAATCCAGATTTCTTTGGTAATTTAGATGCAGTAGTTTTCAACGTCTTAACATCAGTTCTTGCGCCACTGGCACTTGCATCCATCCCACATTTTACTGACTGAGCAGGAGATATTGGGGATTTCTTACAGTCAGACTTTGGGGATCCTGGCGATGTTTTGGAGTTTATTCGTGGTGAAGATGGAGATGTTTTCTTTGAATAGAATTTTACCTGTGTGCTTCTCCTCAACTCACCTTTAGTTGATGTCAGTGACTTTGGTTTAGTTTTCAACTTCTTAGATGCAACAGTTGACTGGTCACTGGCTGGACATGAATCTGGCTTATCCATTGTTTTGGTTCCTGGTCCCTGTGAACATTGATCACTGTCATCCATTTTATCTGTGTCATAGTCACTGATGCTTGGAATGACTTCTTCTAAAATGCTGTACTCACTACAATCTGTATCAGCAGCCAAGGGTGACAACTCACGTTGTTTGCGATTTATGTTTTCTTTCAAGCTCTTCTTCTTCAATGTTGGCTTGGAATCACTTTGGACATCACAGACAGCATCCTTGTAGTTCAGAATATTTTCACTGCAATTGTCTTTCTTAGGACGAATATTTCTTTTTGATGTTTCTGCTTTCTTCAGTGCAACACCTGACAATGTCAATAAAGTAGTGCCAGTCTTTGCTGATTTCTCTGTTTTATCAGTAGGTATACCACCCTTAGTAGGCCCTTTGCCTTTATCATGAGTAGTGCTTGGCAATCTTGAAGCCCTTGGCAGTTTTGAAGTAGGTTTGTTTGTTTTGGAAGTGGCTGAACTAAAACTTACAACACTATCTGTATCATCATCCACAACAGATGACCGTGGTGAGTTAGAACAACTTCGCTCATGCTGAGGTATATTTGAGCTTGAAACTTTACTTCCCACTTGTTCTTTGGGTCTTAGGCTGATTTTTGCACTTTGCATTTCAGTTTTCTTCAGGCTTGAAGGAGATGTTTTCTTCATTGCCTTGGTTTTTTCTTTTGGATCTTCACACACAGATTTAACAGATTTAATTTCAGTGACTTTCTTTTGACTTGCTGAGACACTGCTTATTGTCACTCTGCTAGGAACCCTTTCCATTCTAATATTTCTTGGATCACGTGCTGATAGGCCTTTTTGTTTAGGCTTTCCAGATTTTGATTCTGTTGATGTGACAAACAGTGTTGGGGACAATGACCCTCCTCTTTGAACTGAGTCAAATGCAACAGGTTCTCTCTCACTGACACAAGTAGCAGAGTCCTTTTTCTTTTTCCAAGTGCCTTTGATATTTGAATTATGTACAGTCTTTGGTTTGGCACAGTTTTTCTTTGTGTTCACTGTCAAATCAGGTTTATTTGAAGTGGATACAGGGTTTCTTAAAGGTTTCTCACCTGTCTTGTCCCTCTTTATTTGCCTAATCACCTTGTTGTCACTTTGAACTCCATCCTTTTCAGAAACTGCATCTTTCAAAGAATTCATCTTGCTTATTTGAGATAATGACCCATCTTTCAGAAAATGTTCCCTCTCAGAACTACTTCGATTACTATCCATTCCACTCTCAACACAACTTTCATATGTCTCGACATTTCGTCTGGTTTTTTTCAACCTTGATGTCACATGATTCAACCTTTTCTGTAAATTCATTTGCTGTTAGGCTATTATTTTTCAGTTCCTCTTTTTCTCCCCTGCAGCTTTTCTGTGCACCGCTTTGACTGTGATGTGCATCAACAGTCTGACCCATCTTCTCTGACAAATTATCATCCACTTTTCCGCACTTCTTTGATCTGTTTTGCGATGAATCAGATTTTGCATTCTGATGCGTCTTAGGTGCTGCACCAGTACTTTTGGCAGAGATGGCTCTATTCCTGTGTTTCTGATGAGTCCCACTGCTGGATCGTTCACTTTCTTTCTCAGATGTACAACTAGGAACACTGACATCAGATGAGGAAACAGAAGACCTTGGAGAAGTTAACATCTTATCACTGGATTTTAGAGGTGGTTTATGTGTAACAATGTCACTTGAGCACGTCTTAAATTTAATTTTTCCAGAACTCTCATTCTTCCTCCGTTCTTTGTTCTTTCTCTCCATTGGAGGAGAAAACATTGTATCAGGGCTGGTGGGCGACTTCACCATTGGTATCAACTTCTTTGCCATTTCCGGACTACTTTTTATAGCTGATGAAATAGTAGGCCTCATCAGCCGTGAAGTACAATCATTATTTCTCTTTCTACTTGATGCTGTTTCAGCTGATTGTATACCAGAACCACACTCTATTTCTTCAGCCACTTTAATGTCCAAGGAAGTATGTCCAGTCTGTCGTTTTAATCCCTGAGTCTTCTGTTGTGGTGGTCTCATATTTTCCTTGATAGGACCACTAGATTTAGTTGCCATAGTTCTTTTCTGGTCAGGATAAAATATTAGTGGTGCTTGGTCTGATATGCAACCATTATTAACGCCACCATTTGATGGGATATAGTTATTTACCTGGTCTTCACCATACTCCACATATTCAGAATGCTTATAATAATTACTCCCATGTTGAACCAGGTAATTTCTGTCATCATTAAAATCACTGAACATTCCACTTGCACGGTTTTCTCCATCAGCTGCCGCAACAGAGTCTATATCTTGAAAGTTTAGTCCATCCTTTTCAATGCCAACACACCTTTCACTTTGAACAAGGTATTTTCCACATCTCTTTGAAGATGAGCCTAACAACAGATCCCCATTGCTGCCTTCTGCCTTTCTCTCCTTATCACCAACTGATAGCACTGCCCGGGGGAATCCTGCTCCTACGACTATGCCTAATGATTTCCCCCCTGCATCTGTTTCTGACAGATTTTCTGGTGCAGAACTCATACAAATTGCAGCATCAGGCGGGGAAGAGTTTTTGTCTGTTTGAGCCGATGTATCCTGCTCTGATAATGTTACAAGATAGGACACACTATCTGAAATTAGCAACAACTCACTCTTCTCATATATCTTGCCATCTTCACTGAAAGTATACTCACGTGAACTTGATGTTTTTGTTCCATTTTCAGAGGCTTGAGTAGAATGGACTTTGTGCTTTAGGGATTTACTACCTCCTGAAATTGTACTGGCAGAACTACATGACACATGTGTATCATCTCTGTAAGTTTTTTCAACACTTTCACCATACTGATTCCCATCTGAAACTGCTGTTACAGTTCCAGTGTATGAGTCTCGGTTAAGGAACTTTTTCTTTTTCACGTTGGGAGCTTTTGCATACTTGTGTGAGCGGTGATAGCTAGGAATACCTGACAGTTGTTTCTTGTGCTGGGTCGCTTTGCCTTCATTTCTACCAACATTTCCTATTTTTTCACACACACGGAACCCATCACTTAGAGAGCTTGCAACGTCATCAGGTTTATTATTGCTTAAACACGCACCTCCTTGAAATCTTTCAGCAGAATTCAAATGCGAAACCTCCACCCTGCATACATCTGTGTTTTCACAATCTGGCTGTTCATCTAATGAATCATAATTACATTCCGTGTGTGAAATATTTCCTTGTTTGAGTCCGCGTATTAGTGGCTGGTTAGCAGGCGCATCGCACACTACTGACAACTCACCGTTATTCAGCGATTGCCCGTACTTGATCTCCGTCACAGCACATACCGGTGATTCTAATCCCGTTGTTATCTCTCCATAATCCTGTTGTGCATTATCTGAAATAGTACATCCCTGTCCCACTCTGCCAGTCTGTGCAATTATTTCCTTCCGTCTCACAGTACGTTTGTCACGGGCTATTACATTACCATCCACTGATCTTTGACAAATTTTACGAGACGCTCTGGCGCTGCCTACATGTGACGCGTGTTGGGTGGTGTCGTCTGCTTCTTGTGTCGTCTGCCTGACAGTTGTATCCACGCATGTCCTGTCACCGATAGAGACTTCTTTCGTCCCTGCCACACCTCCGCCCTGAATGGAGTCCGAAGTAGCGTGGAACACCTTTTCTCCAGATAAGCCTGTTATATTCTCCCCACTGCTTGCGCACCTTCCTTCGTCTCCAATTTCACGTCGTCTGCTCGCTTTACAATCCGTGCCATTTCGGTCTGTTATCTCTGCTCCTAATAAATTACCTGGCAAAGAGGTACAGTCCGATTTGTGAACGCTGACAACCCGGCTATCCACAGAGCGGGATTTGTATGACGTATCTCCTCCCTTAAACTCTTGTCTTTGTGAAGTAACGGACTTCCGTTGACCACTTGACTTCGATAACACTGCAATTTTACTGGCTTTCAGTCCACGCTTATTCTTATACCCACGTCTCTCACCGCTCTCCATGTCCCCTGCTATGTGTGAATGGTCGAGAAATACTTTCTCCGATTTTTTCTCAATACTTCCACTCTTGTAACAATTATTCTCGTTGCTGTTCCTACATGTTCCGGTTGTTCCCGATTTTTCCACCTCCACCGACTTGATGTTTCCATTTTCACGCCCAGATATGGGGTACCTCCCCCTTTTCTCCTTCAGTCCACTTTCCGAATTACATGGTGTCCCGTTCGACTTTAAATTGTTTCCATTGAGAAGAACATTAACATCCGACTGGTGTTGCAGCCTACACTGGATTGGATGCAGTGGGTGGCAGGCTTTGCTGTGTATTCCTCTTCCTACCTTGGGCCTGTTTGATGATTGCTGCAGGTTTCTGCTTTGGCTAATGTTACGTAACACGGACGTACTCTGTTTAGGAAGGGTAAAAGAACATTTCTCGTCTACACTCACGGCATCAACATAATGATTCCCCAGTCTCGGTGATCCAAGCCTAGGCTGACTGCTGAGTGAGGCGAAGGTTTCCTCGTCCCGAACTTTCCTCGATCGATCGATATTCGTCGGGTCCAAAACTTGGCAAAGTCCACTGTTCTCACAGCAATTGCTTCTCAAACGCGATCCCAGTCCCCTCCTTCTGATACCGGTACTTTTACCTTTCTGCTTAGCACTGTTACCCACGAGAACACTGCTGTCACCAAAATGAGATTTGTCCAGTGCATTTGTCACACGCTCTGTGCTTCCGCCTTCCAAAACCACTGTCAGCCTCCGAATTGTACATTCTATTTTACCTCCCTCCCCACGACGTGCAGTTACATCGATATTGTTTGTTCTTGTGTTGCTCACAACGCCAGCCCTGCTCTGTGTATTTGGAATAGCTTGTTTGTTGGTCTTGTGAGATTTCACGTTTCCCGCAAGTCGACCAGAACCTCCGGGTCCATTCCTGTTCAAGTTAGACATTCCACCCGATCGGGTACATTCTTTAACCGTTTATAATGCTGAACACACGTAATAACCGGATAGGCTCAGGGCAACGTTTGTCAGTTTGTTGTTAAAATTCTTTTTTACGACGTCAAACGCCACAGGTACCTGAAAACATAAAATCACTAAGTAGTCAGCCTGAAAGGATAAGATGAGGAGTGATCAACAGAAGAAGAGAATTTGCTGAGTAAGTTTATATACATGTACTGTAAAACTCAAAATTTGACTGATTGTAAACATGTAACGTTTCGGGTTTTCTGTTGGCAGTAGTCTCAGAGCCGCCGGTATTACTCCAAGATGTACTTAAAGCAACGAATGATTCTGGGCTCATCGTTATAGTCCATATATGTTCAAAATAATGTAATGAATTTTGAGTTTCCTTGACGTCGAATGTGGAAATTGCAGATTGACGAATACATATTGGTATGTTGTGGTGAGTAAATATGGACGTGTATCTGGTTTCATTTAGAAGCTTCATTAGCAAATAGCGACCCAGAAGACATAAATAAGCAATGAATAACGGACGCCGAGGGTTAATGCTCGTAGGTATTAATGAAGAACACAGCACGGGAGGGTACAGTGTAATTAACAACTCCTGGTCGACCTTGTGGAATCAAACTGGTGGTTGAAGTGCTGACCTTTAGAGTGACAGGTTAGCATGAATTAGTTGTGTGCTGTGGTAATATCCTGTCCTCATGGCGTAGTATACATAGGGCAGCCATCATACGGCTTGCTATTGTATAAAGTGTTAACGCTGGCTGCACGTCAGCTTGTTTAGCTGTACGTCAAATCAAGTAGCTTGTGTTATAAATTAAACTTCACTCGGTCCGTTTTCTTTGTTATTAAAAAAACCCGCATAGCTTGCCTTGGCAGATTCTATGTCCATAAATGTAGTTACGTATTTTATTAGGCCGATTAGACCGCGAACTGTTACAGTTAATGTGGTAAGGACGAGAGCCTGCATGACATTAAGCGACTTGTGAAACTGTAGCCACGTGTTTCCTTATTTCCCGACTTGTTGATGCCTGGCTGGCCTGTAGTTCATGTTGCTCATGTCAGTTGCACATTCATCTAACATCTCTTTCTGCACTTATCGGATTGTCAGAACATTATATGTAAAATATACGCAAGAAGCTTTAACGTCCATTTTTTCCAGCCAACTCTATGGTATAATTTCTTGGCCGCAAGATAACCTTAATCCACGTTTCCAAATGCAGGGGATAGGGCGGACGTGACATATCAACAGTAGTTAAATACCCGAGACATTTGAGTTGTGACCTTGAAATGCTGTTCTTGGTTTAACAGTATGCTCGAACCGAAGTCCACTCATTATATAATAATTTAAATTCTAATTTAGTGAGTGAGTTAATATTTAACGTCACATCGGCAATATCTCAGCCATATCGTGACGAGAAGAATCCAGACAATAAAAGGTGAAAATATTTGGAAGATTAAAACCTGCCGACGATGGATAGTAAAAATACTAGAGAATCACAGATATGAATATAAAACTAGCGAGCAAAGCTAAACAAATCCAATTAAAGAAGACAATACAGTATAAAACACTGGCTACAACTGAAGGTAGATCACCATACTAGGAACCATGGGGACTTACGTTACATTCTAATTTAACATCAACATATCTGTATATGTCCGTTTGGGCATGAAACGTCCACAGTATTATGATATAGTGTTTCTGTCCAGTCTGAGTGCATCATACTGTGTGTGTGTGTCTGTCTGTCCAGTCTTAGTGCATCATATGCTGTGTGTGTGTCTGTCCAGTCTTAGTGCACCATATGGTGTGTGTCTGTCCAGTCTGAGTGCATTATATGGTGTGTGTTTGTGTGTCTCTGTCCAGTCTTAGTGCACCATATGGTGTGTGTCTGTCCAGTCTTAGTGCATTATATGGTGTGTGTGTGTGTGTGTCTCTGTCCAGTCTTAGTGCATCATATGGTGTGTGTGTGTCTGTCCAGTCTTAGTGCATCATATGGTGTGTGTCTGTCCAGTCTTAGTGCATCATATGTGTGTGTCTGTCCAGTCTTAGTGCATCATATGCTGTGTGTGTGTCTGTCCAGTCTTAGTGCATCATATGCTGTGTGTGTGTCAGTCCAGTCTTAGTGCATCATATGCTGTGTGTCTGTCCAGTCTTAGTGGATCATATGGTGTGTGTCTGTCCAGTCTATGTGCATCATATGGTGTGTGTCTGTCGAGTCTTAGTGCATCATATGGTGTGTGTCTGTCCAGTCTTAGTGCATCATATGGTGTGTGTATCTGTCCAGTCCTAGTGCATCATATGGTGTGTCTCTGTCCAGTCTCAGTGCATCATATGGTGTGTGTGTCTCTGTCCAGTCTTAGTGCATCATATGGTGTGTCTGTCTCTGTCCAGTCTTAGCGCATCATATGGCGTGTGTCTGTCCAGTCTTAGTGCATCATATGGTGTGTGTGTGTCTCTGTCCAGTCTTAGTGCATCATATGGTGTGTCTGTCTCTGTCCAGTCTTAGCGCATCATATGGCGTGTGTCTGTCCAGTCTTAGTGCATCATATTGCGTGTGTGTCTCTGTCCAGGCTTAGTGCATCATATGCTGTGTGTGTCTGTCCAGTCTATGTGCATCATATGGTGTGTGTCTGTCCAGTCTTAGTGCATCATATGCTGTGTGTGTCTCTGTCCAGTCTTAGTGCATTATATGGTGTGTGTGTGTCTGTCCAGTCTTAGTGCATCATATGGTGTGTGTGTCTCTGCCCAGTCTTAGTGCATCATATGGTGTGTGTGTGTCTGTCCAGTCTTAGTGCATCATATGGTGTGTCTCTCCAGTCTTAGTGCATCATATGGTGTGTGTCTGTCCAGTCTTAGTGCATCATATGGTGTGTGTGTGTCTGTCCAGTCTTAGTGCATCATATGGTGTTTGTGTCTCTGTCCAGTCTTAGTGCATCATATGGTGTGTGTGTGTCTGTCCAGTCTTAGTGCATCATATGGTGTGTGTCTGTCCAGTCTTAGTGCATCATATGCTGTGTGTGTGTCTGTCCAGTCTTAGTGCATCATATGCTGTGTGTGTCTGTCCAGTCTTAGTGCATCATATGCTGTGTGTCTGTCCAGTCTATGTGCATCATATGGTGTGTGTCTGTCCAGTCTTAGTGCATCATATGGTGTGTGTCTCTCCAGTCTTAGTGCATCATATGCTGTGTGTGTATCTGTCCAGTCCTAGTGCATCATATGGTGTGTCTCTGTCCACTCTCAGTGCATCATATGGTGTTTGTGTCTCTGTCCAGTCTTACTGGATCATATGGTGTGTGTCTGTCCAGTCTTAGTGCATCATATGCTGTGTGTGTATCTGTCCAGTCTATGTGCATCATATGGTGTGTCTCTGTCCAGTCTCAGTGCATCATATGGTGTGTCTCTGTCCAGTCTATGTGCATCATATGGTGTGTCTCAGTCCAGTCTATGTGCATCATATGGTGCGTGTCTGTCCAGTCTTAGTGCATCATATGGTGTTTGTGTCTCTGTCCAGTCTTAGTGCATCATATGGTGTTTGTGTGTCTGTCCAGTCTTAGTGCATCATATGGTGTGTGTCTGTCCAGTCTTAGTGCATCATATGGGGTGTCTCTCTCTGTCCAGTCTTAGTGCATCATATGGTGTGTGTCTGTCCAGTGTTAGTGCATCATATGGTGTGTCTGTCCAGTCTTAGTGCATCATATGGTGTGTGTCTGTCCAGTCTTAGTGCATCATATGGTGTGTCAGTCCAGTCTATGTGCATCATATGGTGTGTCTCTGTCCAGTCTCAGTGCATCATATGGTGTGTGTGTCTCTGTCCAGTCTTAGTGCATCATATGGTGTTAGTCAGTCCAGTCTATGTGCATCATATGGTGTGTGTCTGTCCAGTCTTAGTGCATCATATGGTGTTTGTGTCTCTGTCCAGTCTTAGTGCATCATATGGTGTTTGTGTCTCTGTCCAGTCTTAGTGCATAATATGGCGTGTCTGTCTCTGTCCAGTCTTAGTGCATCATATGGTGTGTGTCTGTCCAGTCTGAGTGCATCATATGGTGTGTGTCTGTCCAGTCTTCGTGCATCATATGGTGTGTGTGTGTCTGTCCAGTCTTCGTGCATCATATGGTGTGTGTGTGTCTGTCCAGTCTTCGTGCATCATATGGTGTGTCTCTGTCCAGTCTTAGTGCATCATATGGTGTGTGTCTGTCCAGTCTGAGTGCATCATATGGCGTGTCTGTCTCTGTCCAGTCTTAGTGCATCATATGGTGTGTGTGTCTCTGTCCAGTCTTAGTGCATCATATGGTGTGTGTCTGTCTCTGTCCAGTCTATGTGCATCATATGGTGTGTGTGTCTCTGTCCAGTCTTAGTGCATCATATGTTGTGTGTGTCTCTGTCCAGTCTTAGTGCATCATATGGTGTGTGTGTCTCTGTCCAGTCTTAGTGCATCATAAGGCGTGTGTGTCTCTGTCCAGTCTTAGTGCATCATATGGTGTGTCTGTCCAGTCTTAGTGCATCATATGGTGTGTGTCTGCCCAGTGTTAGTGCATCATATTGTGTGTGTCTGTCCAGTCTGAGTGCATCATATTGTGTGTGTCTGTCCAGTCTGAGTGCATCATATGGTGTGTGTCTGTCCAGTGTTAGTGCATCATATGGTGTGTGTCTGTCCAGTCTTAGTGCATCATATGGTGTGTGTCTGTCCAGTCTGAGTGCATCATATGCTCTGTGTGTGTCTGTCCAGTCTTAGTGCATCAGAGTCTTAGTCCAGTAGAATGATCTGTAGTGTGGTTCTAGAATGATCTATAGTATGGTTCTAGAATGATCTGTAGTGTGGTTCTAGAATTATCTTTAGTTTGGTTCTAGAATGATCTGTAGTGTGGTTCTAGAATGATTTGTAGTATGGTTGCAGAAGTAACTGTAGTAAGGTTCTAGAAGGATCTGTAGTGTGGTTCTAGAATGATCTGAAGTATAGTCCTAGACTCATCTGTAGTATGGTTCTAGAATGATCTGTAGTATAGTCCTAGAATCATCTGTAGTATGGTTCTAGAATTATCTTTAGTTTGGTTCTAGAATTATCTTTAGTTTGGTTCTAGAATGATCTGTAGTATGGTTCTAGAATGATCTGTAG